TGTGTGCATGAAAGGTTCTTTCAGAAATCAGCATTAGGCTCAGCTCTGTTCAAAGACAGGATGTGTCAAACCCATGACTGTGGAGTATCAGCCTGCATGGGCCAAGGGCGACCTCTGCTACAGGCCTGGATTCTTTGCAGTCTGCAGCCACAAGATCTTCCAAGATTTGTCCGTGGGCATTGCCCGTGGGAACAATCCCACACCACTTTATAAACCGCTCTGAGGAAAGCCTGGATTCCCCTGACATAGCTGCCTTGAATGCCATGCAGCCGCTGTTTCTGGGGCACAGGAATTTAAGGCAGGATGTGGAGAGTACCCTTCCATGTGAAACTGCAGGGGGGGTTAGGTGGACTCAAAGTAATGACCCTCCTGTGAATCTGACAAGAGCACCAGTGTTAACGCCACCCTCCTGGCTGAGAATGTCCTTTTGAAATATGTTCTAGGGTATGGCTCCTGTCTTATTAATTATGTTACAAACTTAGTAAAGCTGGATAATTAATGATCAGAGGGCACATGGAACTATAAAATGTCATGTAAATGTTACGGAGTAAAAATTAGTGTACTAGATAGATATGTTGCTTTAAAATATATTTCATGGTGAGAAGGTTAATTTCTAGAGGAGCTAAAAAGCTTTCTGTTGGGCTCTCTTCAGAAACTTTGGCTGTCTTATCATCTTAACCACAGTTTAGGAGACCCAGGTTTCCGCATTCTGAAGTATTTGAAAGGCAAATGGCTGGCTGTCACTTTTAGCTCTGGAAGTGAAGTTGCCTGTTGGATATTGGTAAAAACTCTGTCTGTTGATTCTCTCTAGCCGGAGACAGTTTGGGCCCAAAGCCAAAGAAGAGGTAAAGATCATCGAGCATCAAACGCAGTCCTTTCGGCTGATGCCTCACCTGGCCACGGTGCTGGCCCTGACCTTTGCCAGCAGGTGAGATGACCCTCGGGGTTTGCGCTCTTAAGGTGAGAGTGATGCTCTGACATTGATCAGGATTCAAAGGAGAGGCAGGCACAGGACCTCATTTTCTTGTGATCAGAAGGAGCCTGTGGTTAAAATCC